CACCCACATAGGACAAATTTTCAAGCATGGTGCCCGTCTCCCATGTCTTAAAAAATAAATAAATAAAATTCCAATTGTACTAAAATCATATTCTCGTTGTAGTGCCATGACCGGATCTTATATTTTCAAAAGATTCGGTCATCGAAGAATGGCCACTTGTTTGTATGGTCCGGCCATGGCTAAATATTCTCTCGATGTCAAAAATTATCATACAACAAGTTGATGGTTTTTTAACATAATATTTTAATTAAGGAGATAAAGAAGTATGGGCAAACACAAAGTGTTGGGGCTTGTAGCTATATGGCTTTGATATTTCTAACTAATAATTATGAGAACACAAAATGGAAGAATCAAATAAATAAAATTAGATTATTTCTAGTCAAGGTATTCTACATATATAATTGATCCATTTGGCAGACTAGGAATTTAATGGACAATGTATGTGATTCCCCTCCATCAATATTGTTCTCTCTGGATTTGGTAGGATTTTTTTGGGATTGAAACGCATGAAATATGCTATTCGTTTGGAAATTGCATTCATGCGTCTGCCAATTTTTGGTGGCTAGTATTATGATTCCATATAAAATATAGTGTGTATATCTAAGTGAAAGTCCAATTGCATCCATATCACTAGGTGAAAGAATTAGTGATTCTATATATTTATGTAGCTGACTATGAGAGTTATCTATCTATATTTGAATTATATTTTAAATTTACATCTGAATTCAAGTTTTGAATAATATTATGTTTATCACTAAATTAGCTATTTTTCATCAACTTATGTGATATATTATTGAGTCTTTTTAACCTTAAATGTTAGCTCAACGAGTAAAAAAATTCTTATATATATATATATATATATATTAAAGAAAAGTGTGAGAAAAAATAATTTTATTCTCAATATATTTTAAATATTTTAAGGTGGCTAGATTTTAATCCATGTAGAGCTCAAATTTAAGTGCTCGTAGAATCTGGGAAAAAAATCTCGAAGTTTTAAGTAAGCTTAATTTTTTTTTCTTTTTATGTTTTTGAAAAGATCCTAACAATACGATTTCTGATCTTGAACTTTTCAAACAAATTATTAAAGTAATTATGTGTTTTCTTTTGAAATAAACAATTGTTAACTTGTAGAGACAAATGTGAATGTGGTTTGTAATTTAGTACATTATGCTGACCAGAATTATTGGTATAGTTAGCAACAAACATTATATGTTGCTATTTTGCAACAAACTAAAAGAATTAGTGATAGATATTTCGTCGCTAACAAGATCGAAAAAAACCCAAAAATAGCAATGAACCGAATGATCTATCATTGAGTGTCCTTATAATTCCGTTGCTAATTCATCGCTAAAACAAATGCGAATAGTTTACCACCTTATTTAAAGATGGGCAAATCCATCACAAATCGTTTGGTATTCTGTTGCTAACATCCACATCTCGATGATAATCACAATTCGCTTACTAATCTATTGCTATTTAGAGACAAAATGATATGTCGTTGATGTACGTTGCTAAATTACGGATGTTTTGTAGTGCAAAGTGCTTTGAACAATTAAATTAAATAGGTGGAATCCCACCTTGATAGGTAGCCACTACCTCGTTATCCAAGTTATGATGTGGGTCGGACAAAATAAAACTACTTCAAATTTTTTTTATTAAAATTATGTATTTATTTAATTTTTTTTATTTTTTTCATGAATTTTATATTTAGAAAACCATGAATCATTCATGTTTATACATTTATTTTTAAATAAAAACTTGTAACAATTTAAACTAAAATATTAATGAAGAATTCAAAAAAAAAACCGACTTTAAAAATATATTTTTTCATAAAATTGTATCCGAAAAATAAAGCTACAATTAATATATAGACTTCTATAAATTTTTATTCTTATTTAATGTTAATGAGAATATTATTTTTTAAAAGTATATGCATTAGATATATATATATATATTGTTAGCATAAAAAATTATATTTAAATAATTGTAGCAAGTATATATATATACTTGATCCCTTTGGTTGTCAAATGAATTAAAATGAAATATATATAGCTTGTGTGGTCGTGGAAACTTGGTACTTACACTTCTTAAAATTTTACATCTATTATTTTAGCATTTCTTAAAGATTAATGAAGGAATGGGTGAAGGTTCGGATGCTTGTGTTTTTGGTTACAAGAGAATGAGGTTGTTTGAGAGGTTCGATGATGTCGGAGGGTTTCGGTTGGAAGGACTAATGGTGTTGTTTGGTGAAGGATGGATTATGGGCGGAGTTTTGGTTATGGGTTTATGTATGGGTTTAATTGATTTGTTGAGATGATGGCGAGGAGGTGGCTTGTTGATGTTGAGTAACTAGGGAGGAGATTAGTAAAGTAGCATTTGGACAATCTTGTGGTGCCGCACACTAAGAGCTTAGTGCCTTGGTTTGTGAGAGGTGGCTAGCTTTATGTTTGTTGTAAGGTGGGTAGCTTGGTGTGGCTTCAATAGCAATAGAAGGAAGAGGGTTTCAAGGGTGAAAATGATGGTGGGTTTATAAGTGAGAAAGAAATGGAGGTTTGTTAAGATGTATGGAGGTTCAATAAGGTTTTGGATAGTTACAAGGCATTTTTGTTTGATAGGATGTGGTTGTGTTTGTTGGGGGAGATAAAGCTTAAGGGTGGCTACTTTATTGAATGATAGCTAATTACCATAAATAGGTAGGGGTGGTAAGTTGGAATGACCGAATGGTGTAGCTATTGTGGTGGTTTATTGTAGCAAGAAAGATGACTAACGGGATGTGTGAACCCGTGTGTGGATTGCGAGCTTGGTTTGTGATATGCTCTTGTGAGGATGGAGACAACTAGGGTTTTGGTGACTATATGATGGTCTAGGAACTATGGCTCAATAAAAAAGGAGCTATGAGTTTGACAAAGAATGACTATTTAAAGATGGTGGTTTGTAAAGGCTTAGAGGAGGAAGAAAGATGACATGTTCGGAAGAGCCATGACATCCATCCTTTTTTGATGAAGATGGCTTTCTAGCTTTTATTTTTTGTAAAGACTACATTTTTAGGGTTTTTTGTGGGATAAGAAAATTATGGAGGCTTCCTTAAAATGAGGAGAAAGAGTTGCTTATATAGGAGATTTTTAGAGTTGAGGGATGAGTTACCCCCTCAATCATTTTTTATTTTTTATTTTTATTTTTTGTATTTTTTATTCTTTTCATTTTTTTTTGTTTTTGTAGTAAATTTCAAAATAAATTAAAATGACATAAAATAAATAAAATAATAAAAAAATATGAGAAAATTTTGAATTATGACAATTGGCTTCTCTTTATAATCATTATAACGTAAAGTCAAATGAAAAAAAAATTAATGACTTTGCTTAATAAACTTATAAAGAATTTTTTTTAGAGATCGATCCGATGGTTTTGGGTGATTGAACTTGAAAGTAAAACTATGATGGGATGGCCTAGTTATGAAGGGTGACTTGTCTTGAAAATTAAAGATGCAATGCGATGACGTTGTTGCAAGGATAACTTACTTTGAAAATTGAATGTACAAGTACATGGCTATGTATTACATGTTTAATTTTTAAGATAGACTCGCTCTTAACAAGAATGTCATGTACTACACGTTTAATTTTCGGGATAGCTATCCTAATAACAAGATCATGTATTGCATATTTAATTTTCGAATAGGCTACCCTTGACAACAAGGCAATCTCATTGCATATTTAATTTTTAATATACACTCGCCTTCGACAACAAAGCCATATAATACATATTTAACTTTCAAGGTAGGTCGCCCTTAACAATAAGATCATGTATTGCATATTTAATTTTTAGAATAGGTTATCCTTAACAACAAAGTCAACATATTGCATATTTAATTTTCAAGATAGGTTGCTCTTGACAATAAAGCCATCACATTGCATATTTAATTTTTAGGGCAAACCGCCTTAACAACATGGTCATGTATCGCATATTAATTTGTAAGACAAAATGCTTTCACAACATGGCCATGTATTGCATATTGAATTTTTGAGGTAAGTCGTCTTTCATAAAAAGACTATGTGCTCGCAAGTTTAATTTTCAAGGTTGGCTACCTCGTACAAAAAGGGCATATATCGCACGTTCAATTTTCGAGATAGACTACCCTTAATAATAAAGTTATGTACCACACGTTTAATTTTTAGGGTAGACTATCTTGACAATAAGACCATCGCATCGCATATTTAATTTTTGAAATATGCTACCCTTAATAATAAGCCATGTATTACATATTTAATTTTCAAAGTAGACTATTCTTGACAATAAGGCCATGTACTACATGTTTAATTTCAAGTTAGGTTGTCCTTGACAAGAAGACCATCGCATTGCATATTTAATTTTAAGGATAGGTCGCCCTTCACAATAAGGCCATCGCACCGCATATTTAATTTTCAAGATATGCCACCTTAATAACATGGTCATATATTACATATTTAATTTTCGTGGCAAGCCACAACCGAAGTTATCCTATCACAGCTTTACTTTCGAGTTCAATCACTCGGAATCACCGAACCAATCTCTAAAAAAAAAAGAATATTTTTTCTTTACAAGTTTATTATGTAAAGTCATTGAAAAACACTTTTTTTTTATTTAACTTTGTATCATAAGCATTGTAGTAACTAGTCATAACCCAAAATTTTCTCATATTTTTTATTGTATATTTATTTTATTTTATCTCATTTTAATTTATTTTAAAATTTACTACAAAAAACAAAAAAAAATTGAAAAAAAGAATAAAAAAATCTATAAAATACAAAAGAAAAAGAAAAAAATGATTGAGGGGATGACTCATCCCTCCAACCTTAAAAGTCCCCTATATAAGTAACTATTTCCCCTCATTTTGAGGAGGCCTCCACAATTTTTCTATCCCATAAAAAAATCCCTAAAAATGTAGTCTCTATAAAAAATAAAAGTTGCAAAGCCATCTTTACTAAAAAAGGATGGATATCATAGCTCTTCCAAACATGTCATCTTCATCTCTCCTCCAAGCCTTTATAAACCACCATCTCTACATAGCCCTTCATTGTCAAGCTCATAGCTCCCTCTCTAGTGAGCCATAGTCCCCGAACCACCATGTAGTCATCAAAACCATAGTTGCCTCCATCCTTACAAAAAATCATCACAAACAAATCCCGTAACCCATACACGAGTTCACACATTCTACTAGTCATCTCTACTCGCCGCAACAAACAACCACAATATTTATGCCACTCGATCATTACAACCGACCACCCTTGCCCATCTATGATAATAGCCTACCATTCAATAAAGCTATCACCTTTAAGCTCTATCTCCTCCAACAAGCATATAACCATAACCTATCAAACGAAATGCCTTGTAATTGCGTAAAACCCTATTGAACCATCGTATTCCCAAATCAGTTAAACTCATACACAAACCCATGATCAAAACTCGCACATAATCCATCCTTTACCAAACAACACCATCGATCCTTTCAATCGAAACCCTCCAACATCATCAAACCTCTCAAGCAGACCTCATTCTCTCATAACCAAAATACAAGCACCTAGCATATGTAACCCTCACCCATTCCTTCATTGATCTCCACCACCATCATCAACCGAATCCATCTCCTCCATTGCTCCCCTCCCCCTAACTAGTCACTATCCATCACCTATCGTCTTCTTTCCCCTTAAATCAATCTCAAATACTCCATCACTCTTTCCTACTACATTCGTCCTCCTAATTGTCTCCCAAACAAATCTTGATGTTTCCCACATGAGTCAATAACTTGATTGGGACTCGATGATTCAAGTTTTTTCGATGGGTTAGAGAGGAATTTAAGGGTTTTAGACACTTGCTTCCTTTTTTCTTTTATTGCTATAAGCAGGTTGAAATGGAATGAAAGGAGAAGGGGTGTGTGATCTCGATTGGTTTAAAAGAAAAAAAAATAAGGCAAAGGAAGAAGACGAAGGTATAAGATTTTTCCTTTTTTGGTCTTTGTTCAACTTAGTCTAGGCTTAAGAAAACGTAAAAAGTTGCTCCTATTGAAAGAATATAGAAAGGTTAGGTTAAGCCCAAACCATGGAAAGTTAAGCGAGCTAGCTAAGCCCGACTCGCATGGCCTAAAGCTTGAGCTGGTTTTAGCCCAGTCGAAGCCCAAAAAGAGAAGGCCGAACTCTCTTACAGTGTCAATCCAAGCAGCTTTAGCTTAGTGGGCCCTCGCCCACTAACCAATACAAAAAAAAGCTCAAGGCCCTAGTTTTATTTTATTCATGCTATTTTATTTTATGTTTAATTCAAATTTAATGTTTGAACTTCCTTTGATTTATTTAATCAATGCAAATTTTAAATTTTATTTCAATAATTAGAATAGGTGATTAATGAGTGGAGGAATTATCGAGTCTCCTAATTTTTAAGGATCGATGATGATTCTCTATCGACAAAAATACCATATATATATATATATATATATATATATATATAAACAAAAAAAAGAGAGAAAAGAAACGTCAAATATTAGTTTAGTAGTTAATAGGTGGATAAATTGTCGAGTCTCATAATTCTTAGGGATCGATGACAATTCTCCATCGATAAAAAATTTAATTAAAATTCCTAACGAAGTCTCCTATACAATAAAGATTATCGTTAACAAAAAAAAAAAGAAAATAAAAAAATATAATCATAAATTTCTTAACCAAGTCTCTTATTTAATAAAGACTCGTTGTTAATAAAAATAAATGAAAGTTAATCAAATTTCTTCACAAGATCTTCTATATGATAGATACTCGTTATTAGTAAAAAAAAAAAAACATCATTTATTGATAAAAATATTCTCCGACATATCGGTTATGTTGAGACTTAAAGTGGATACAATGTTTGAACCGACATATCTCCCGATGATCGTTTTAGTTCAATGCCATGCTCAAAAATTAAAAAAAAAAAACATAATTTGACTTGAAAAATTAGAATTTAAATCAAAAATTAATTTAGTATAATTAAAACACTTTTAGAGATGAATTTAGGACTAAACTAAACATGATACCTTTCTCAAAAAGAGTATTTTTGGGTGATCGATATCTTCCCAAATCGTAACTAACTCCTTACCCTAAAATCTTTGCGCTAGTGCTATTTTAAGTTTTTAGTTCCTTTAATACTAATTGGTGACTCTAAACTCAATAATAACGTCATCCTCGGATCAAATCATAAATACGATGCAAAAATCTTTAATTTTTTAAGTCTCATTTGACGTTGAGTAGTGATAGAATGACAACTCCACTAAAGACTTTCAAAAAATTTAAGATTTTAGAGATTTGCATCGCATAGTAATTCTAGAGATAAGAGATATTATTGAGTTTGGAGTTGCCACTTATTATTAAATAAACTAGAAACCTAAAAATAATACCGGTGCAAAAATTCTTAAGTAAGGAGTTGGTTACGTTTTACGAAAACATCGATCACTCAAAAAGCCTATTCCTAGAAAAGGTATCACATTTAGTTTAGTCCTAAATTCATTTTCTAAAGTATTTTATTTATGCCAAGTTATTTGCAATTTAAACTCCAATTTTTCAAGTGAAATTAAGTGTTTTACGTTTGGATGTGACATCGTATTGAAACGATCGTCGATCCCCTTCGTCGGACGATATGTCGGCTTAAACATCGAATCTACTTTAAGCCTCGACACAATTGATGTATCGGAAAACATCCCGATTGTTAAATATTGATGATATTTTTTTAAAACTATCGACAATTCCTATCGGATATGAGATTTTGCTAAGAAATATATATATATATATATATATATATATATATATATATATATATATATATATATATTGTTAATAATAGTCCATATTAAATAGGAGATTTCGTCGGGAATTTTAATTAATTAATTTTTTTTTATGAAAAATCGTCAATCGGTTCTTAAGAATTAAGAAACTCGACAAATCATTCACTTATTAACTAATAAACTAAATTTTGAAACGAAATTCTAAAACTAAAATTAACATATAGCCTTCCTTTTTTTTAATATTTATTAATTTGTTTGTTTTTTGGTCAATAGGAAATCAATATCAGTCCCTAAGAACCTAAGAATTAAGAGACTTAACAATTCCCCAACATATTAATTACCTATTATAATTACGGAAATAAAATTCAAAATTGCATTAATTAAAGGGAATTCAAACATTAAATTTAAATAAAAAACAAATTAAAATAGCATGCATAAAAATAAAATTCAGAATTAATCTACACAAAATAAAACTAGGACCTTGAGTTTTTTTTTATTATTATTATTGGTCAGTGGGCCCTAGCCCATTGAGACTTGGCTGGCCTGCTAGATAGGCCAGCCTTTCCACCTCTTTTTTTTTTTTTAGGCTTAGGCTGGGCTGAAACCAGCCCAAGCTTTGGCCATCCGGGCTGGGGTTAGCAGAGCTCGCTTGGCACTCCAAGTCCAGCCCTCTTTCCCTTTTTTATAACAAAACTTCAGTCCCTGTGACCATTTCTTAAACCAGATACAAGTTAAACAAAACCAAAAAACTTTATTACCTGCCATCTACTCCTTTCTCTGCCTCTTCCATTTCCTTCGAAACCGCCCGAAATAGTGCAGCCTTTTCTCCATCCTCTCTTTCTGTGTGATTTACAAACTCTCCTCATAGACGTGAAGGTCTCCTTCCCTGACCCTTCTCTTAGCCAAAGTGATAAGGCAATTTACCCTTTCTCTTCATCAACACCCAAGGCCATGACGGGCTCGGTGCTGCCAACCTTAATCAAACTGCTACACTTCGAATCCAATGATGAGATAGCTCGGAAACCAAAATCATACCCTCTATGTGGCCTTGGGTATCACGTTTCGTACATGCGACACTCCAGATTTGGTGAGTGTGTCGCCATGATTTTTTTATTGATCGAATTGGGGATATTGGGTGTTTGAAATTTTTTTTGTTATCTATCTGTGTTTGGGGAGAGAGGAGATTGGTGATTTTCAAGTGGATCATGAATATAGTAGGAGTTTTTTTAGGCCCCTATGAAGATGGATGCAGCTGGGGTTGAAGATGGAAGGGGGCCAAGGGGCCCGGTTGTGGTTGAGGTCTTAGGAAGAATGCACACTAGGTGTTTGTGCATTTTTCTATGAGAGGTGCTTACAGAGAAGGTGATACAACGGCAGCTATTGGTGGGTTGCAATGTTTGGAGAGCAGGGCTAAACGATGAGGAAGCACGATTGTTAGCAGCGGTCCTCTGGTGGTTGAGATAGGCGAGAGGTTGTGAGACTCTGGTGGTCTTGTGGCTGGTAAGAAAGGCTGTAGTGGTGCTTGATGTCAGTATGGGGTGACAGTGGGGTTGAGGACAGAGAGATGGGCGAAGGTTAATGTGTGATTTTTGGGCAGTGAAGGATGAGGGGAAACCGTGGTCAAGGGCTGCAGTAGGATGTCTCTTTCTATATGGATTTTGGCAAGATAAGAGGCAGCCATGAAAGCAAGTCTGGTGGGGGGTTTTGACCAGTTTTGAAACGACTATGAAGGGTGTTTTTGGTTATGGTGTTGAAAATGAAGAAAGTGGTTGATCGAGATTTTTTTGGAAAAGAGTACGTTTAAGAGCTTGGGTGGTAGATGAAGCTACTGTGGAGGTAGAAACAGCTAGAGGTTGAAGATGATATCGGTTTTTTTTTCGGGGTGTGGATATGGCCGCCATCTCTGTTACAGTGTAGGAGGTTGCCACGCTTTTTATTTTTGAAAGATTATGAGCGGCTAGGTTTTTTCTTAGGGTTTGTTGGGATAGGGAGAATTGTGGAGGCCCCTCCGAATGAAAGTAAAAGTTTGTTTATATAGGAGAATTTGTGGCATGAGTCATTTTTAATATTTCTTTTTTTATATATTTTCTTTGTATATATATATATATATATATTTTTTTTTAGTTTTTGTAGTAAATTTCAAAATAAAGTAAAATGAGATAAAATAAAATAAGAAACAAATAAAATAACTAAAAGTATGAAAAAAATTGGGATTATGACATTCAATGAAGAGTGGATATGTGTAAATTTCAAGTTTAAAATGTTTTTACTCGGATGTATTATAGACTAATATAAATCATATCTTAAAGTTTTACCTAATAGTTTAAACTTTTGGGTTGAGATGGACATTTGACATGGTATTAGAGGTTCCATTTCTCTTCTAATTAATTAAACATAAGGTAGTTTAGGCTTGTGTAAGGGCTTTTCGATAACCTATTTAAGTAGTTTAAAAAAATTAAGTTATAGTACTTAATATAAAAAGTTTGTTTGATGACTTAAATAATCTCATTAAAAATTTAAGTTTAGTCAAAATCTATTTAATTAGTTAAGTTAAAGTTTTTAACTTATTATTTTTTTATTAACATGCTCGGTTGAAAGATTTTTAAAACTTTTCAAATATGAATATATCGCATTTATATATTCTTATAACTTTATCTATACAAACTAATTGAAAAACAATCTCGACTATCCCTATTGCTAAAACAGAGAAAACCTTCTCCATTATCGGTGCTTCTATCTCAAAATCCGAAATGCCAAGGTCTAATCTCATTGTAGGTAATTTTCCTTTCATTCCATTACAAGTGATTTTCCTTCATATCTATTGATATCTTGATCTTTTTTTTTTTTGTACATTTTTTTCTCGAGAAAGACTGATTCTTTTTGTAGATTAAGCTCGTTTTAGTTTCTAGTTTTGATTTATATTCCTTCATGTCTTTCTAATCCCATCATCATCAATATTTTTTTTTCTTTTTGTACAATTTTCCGTTGATA